TGAAACAATGACAAAAATATATATATTTAAACCTTTAATATAACAATTGCAGCAGCTCTAAAATATCTCATACAAAAAATATTAGCCACAAATAAATGAATATTTCATTTACACGTTAAACTCCATGCCCATAATTATGGATAAAACTTTTTCTTCATCATCACATACAAATAGCCAATGATTAAAAAACTGATATTACCATATTACTCTTCATTCTTATTAGCTAATTTTATCCAGTTTTAGCTTGGAAATTTTTTTTAAACATACAAAGATATGAAAATCTAACAAAAATATATATAAGGTATTATTGTACTTACTGATCTGTTCGTTGTGCTCGATGTACTGAAAATACAGATACGAGCACAAAAAGCCTTGCTATTAGTCGGCGAGTCATGGCCTAATACTATAGCGACCATTCAAAACCTAAGAAGAAAAAGTCTATTAAAAATAGATAGATTCCAATATTTAAAATTAAATTATTGTACACTTCTATACACATTTTTTCAGACTAGATATTTCATACACGCAGCAATTATCATATTTCATACCCGACTACAAATGTTTAAGTCATTACCATATGGGATAATAAGTTTTTGAAGTGATACTACTTATGCGACTTCCAGCAAGGTTGCGTTAAACGTTCAACGCTACATTTTTATTGGCCGGGAAATCACGTGGTAGCATCCAGTTTTCCCTCATTCATTTCCATATTGTTTTGGTTCTCACTAGCATAAAAATAATAAAAGTCATAAAAGTATTGTTTTTCTATAAATATTTTAGTTTGATTTGATACACATATAATTTAAAAGGGTAGTACTTTTTATTTTCAAATTTAGTGGATAACAATTGTAAAAAATGAGTGAAAACAATCCCACGGATTTAATGTTATGTCAAGGTACGTCTCTTGTGAATATCAATTGATTGTTGGGTTTTCTCTTTTCTAATTGCCATTTATATTTCACCAAATGCAGCCATGAGGAATATTAAATTATGTATTGCAAAATATTTATTGCCACTTTCCACTACAGGTTCACAAGCTCTGGCAGACCTTACTGGTGAAGAAATTGATTATTGTGAGCGGCTTGTGATCCTTGCAGGAGATTTTAATGTGAATTTCTCGTTACCTGAAGCTGAAACATTATTAACCTTCCTTAAAGACAAATTTGGATTGGAAATGATAAATGGTAGGAATGATCCAACAACCATAGGGGGAACTACCATTGAAGCAGTTTTTGCAAGAAATATTGAAAAAATAAAACTCAAACATTTCGTATTACCTTAGTTATCATAATACCATTGTAAATGTTATAGATTTGGATATTTCTCCACTCGATAATGATAATAAAAAGATGCGATCAATTGTGAATTGTAAGCAATGTTAATAAAGTTTGTCCTAAAGAAACAATATGATTTCACTAAAAATCAATTTCTACCCCTTCCTATTTTCATTTCCACATTACGAAGTTTCACTTCTTCCGCGCGGAGGGACTCCAAACACTATTTTTTTCTGTGACCTTCTGCTGAATAGTTAACTATTAAAGTAAAATATTTGATTATTATTAATATTAATGGGTGGTTATTAATAATAACCACGTTTTTTGGTAAATGTTATAAATTATACACAGTTATTATAAATATTTTCCAATGAAATTCAGTTAGTGTGATAAACTAGACATAATTTATTGAAATTTCAACTACAATGTAATTTTTATATGCAAACTTCCTAAATACAATTTCGTCATAGCGAAAAAAAGAAACAATAAATCAAAATCAGTACTGAGCAACATTAAAAATCATGCATAAAGCTGAATAACAAATACTTACACAATTAAAAAAGCTGAAATAATTTTAATGTTGTTTCCTTATTATTATTCGTTATACTTCCGGGTGCAGAACAAGTTTTTAGTAGCTCATCCAATTAACGGTAAACCTTATTGACAGTAACCTTATTGAGCATGATCTGGCGTAATGCTGCTGCTTGAAGCCAACTCATGATATTTTAAATTTACCACAATCAAGCACTTTTCTGCACTTATATTACAGCCGTAAAAAACTTATTTCAACAGTGTAATAAAAAGGCATAGTACTGATGCAGTTTTAATAAGCACCAAATGTACTCATAAATTCCTTATACCTATATTAGTATATTTAGTACATATTAAAACTGTACCAATTACCATAATACCAGGAGTGTATATTACCAAAAATATTTAAGCATCATTGGTGTCAAAAAAAGTATTGCGAATTTTTACTTTTCTTCTAAACAAATTAGTAACACTGCTTAATTATTTTCATTTTATAATATAAAGAATGTTATTTTTTATAATTACATTTAGTTTCTTTTACTAAAATTACTTTAAAAAACATCGTTGGTGACAAAACAGGTGTGGGAATTTTTTACTTTCTCTATAATGAATTAGCACCATTTCTTTCTTTTTTTTTTAAAGTACATAGCTCATTTTTTCTTTTATTTAGTACCTAATACGAAAATTAATTAAGAATCAAAACTTTTTTTCCCTATAATGCTTAGCGAGCCGCGGTGGCTCAAGGGATAAGGAGCTCGCCTTCCAATGAGGTGTCCCGGGTTCAAATCACAGCGATGGCTAGTCGCCATATATTCCGCACCTGGCCCGCACTGACCACAGTGCTGACATAAAATATCCTGAGTGGTAGACAGGTCATGGGTTAGAGTCCCTTTGCCGTCTGCTAACCGTTGGAGATTTTGGTGCTTTTCTTCTCCATGTAACACTAATGCGGGTTAGTTCCACCAAAAAGACTTTCACGAAGGCAAATTTTTCCCAGTACTTTCTTTGTCTTCTGGATTGGGTTCAAAATTATAATGCTACGGATTTGAATCCTGCAGTCGTAAACCTAAATTTGGGTCGGCTGTTCAACGATGCTTATAATAATTAAAATTAATTACGCATCATTGATATCAATAGTATTTTCAATATATCTTTCAAGAATAATCAATATTTTATTTTGTATCTAATAACAATAGTTAATTAAGAATCATTTAAATAGAATTAGTTAATTAAGTTAATTAAGAATCGTTAACTTTAATAATAATTTGATGGTTTCTTACGTTTCTGTTAAAAGAATTGGCCATTAGAAAGAATAAGACTAATCATGCGTTTTAAAATGATCTCTGCCAGTTAAATATATTATTTCCTTACATATTATTTAACCGATAGCTTATGTTAGCCTGCATATTCGTCTCTAACCCGTTTTGATATTAGCTTTATGAGTTTAGCAAACTTTAAGAATATTTTTTTTTTGTTGAGATATCATTCGTTTCGGTCCCGCAGTGGACTGATCGTTAAGACACGGTTCCCAGCAGATCTACCGAAGTCAAGCATCACTGACTACGGTCAGTGTGCGGGTGGGTGACCACTTGGATCAGTCTGCGTAGGGACCGAGGGTGTGCGATATTGGTCCTCGTTAAACTGTTCTACCGTAAAGTGCTCGACTTCGCGTGCAGGTCGTCGGGCTACTGAAGCGGGGGTGCCATCCCCTCTGCAGAGGATCAAAATTGTGATGGCATGTCTTCGGATCATCCTCAGGGGTGTTTCCCAGACCGTCGCCAATAGCCCATCGTGCAGCTCTAGTGCGACGTAAATTAACTACAACAACAACAACAACAATCATTCGTTTCGATTTTTAAAAAAAAAATATTTTGCAACAATGCTGTTTCTATTATAGCCCACGTTGAAACAATGACAAAACACGTTGAAACAATGACAAAAAAGGAAAAATGATCCAAAAAATATTAGCAATCTGTAATTAATTACGCCATGTCGATTGGTGAAGTCATTTAAAGCATTTTAAGCAAAAATTTAATATGCAAAATTGGTTTTTAACAATTAAATTTCGTATTTTCTCGAACTAAATGACTCCGAAAAGTGTTGATTGTTTACAAAACAAACCATTCCGTAACAATTTGCAAACTGTAGAAAAAAACATGATCCCACTCTGTACTCCCGTTTTCGAGTTGCCAGCGAATATTCATACAGTTTAACTTTAACTTTTATATATATAGAAACGATGTGCTGTGATAATAAATCTGTCATTAAGGATTTTTAATTATGTTTTAATCGAAAATTATATTTTCAAAAGTACTATTTTTTCCCACATAACATCAATTGAGTGAATAAATGATAATTTTTGAAATCTTGATTTTATAAATTATAATACGATTCATTACCAAAAAAAAGGAAAATATTTATTTGATAATAATCACTGTTTATTATTTCCAATAATCGGATTTATCAATGAAAGGATGTACCATTGCCCAGTACGCATTTGCCCGGTGTACCCTACACTGATATTTTTTAAAGTATCTCTAGACAGTATACTTTAAGGTATCTTTTCCTTAGCTTAAGTGTTTCAAAAAACGAAGACGTAAAAATAATAAAAAAAAGAAACGAAACAGTCAAACTCAAATTATCCGTATAACGAATGAGCAACGGGCGTAAAGAGCGTGTGTCTGCATCCAAAGTTAACAAGCAACTGACATTGCCTAGCTGTTTGAGCCGGAAATTGCTATCACGAATGCTTATCGAATTGCTATGCAAATGCAATGAAAATTATTATAGTGACCAGACTTTATTGTTAATTATAACCTGCAAATGAAATGAATTCTAAAAGAAGCTTAATCACTTTTTTATTATTAAGAGATGATTATTAGTAATAACCGATAATTTACATTGCTCGTAGCACATATAACTCCCAATTATTACAGTATACAGGTAAACAACATAGTCCGAAATTTATTTTATTTTATAACCGTCGTTGAACAGCCGATAACCAATTTTTGGGTTTACTACTACTAATATTCAACTCCATAGCCTTGTAATTTTGAACCCAGTTCAGAAGACAAGGGAATTCTTGGATCAAGTATTGGGAAAAATTTGCCTTCGTGGAGGACTTTTTGATGGAACTAACCAGCATTTGCGTTACCTCCTACGGTTATGCTGACGGCCAGGGGATTCTAACCCATGATCCGTCTATCACTGAGGATATTTTGCGTCAGCGCGCGGTCGGCGCAGGTCGGATGCGGAATTCGTATCGACCAGCCATCGCTGAGATTTGAACCCGGCTCACCTCATTTGAGGGCGAAAGCTCTTTCCCCTGAGCTATCACGGCTCCATAGTCTGAATTATTGTGTTTCTGCAATTTTAATTTAAAGTTACATCATTAAACGAGAAAAACGAAACGAGATTTTTAATCTAAAGAATAATATTTTGCTCAATATTTGCTTTCTTGGCGGCTTAAAATTCAACAATCAATGAGTTTTTCACTTAAAAGCATCTTTAAAAATATTTTGCTTTGTAATTAATAATAACAAAGCATTTTCTGTAAAAGTAATCAGTTCTCTTATTTCTTTCATTATTCCCTAATTCTTATTTTTTCGCACGATTTCT